GCATAAACAATAGTAGAGCTACGTTCTTGCAGTCATTCACATGTAGCATTCAACGAGTGTAGAATCAGTATACCTGTGTACAGGTGTGTCCCCCAAACACTTATTAGGAGGGGCCATGTGAGGCCCCTGCACACATAAGGGAAATTTCACAAAGTGGGGCGCACTCTCTTAAAAGCCTCCAATTCCTATTTCCCACACTCTCTCCCGCTCTCTCTTCACACAACTCTCTCTTCAACTAGAGTTGAAGCTCTGGTGTTGACTGGAGACTGGAGACTCTGTGGAAAAGTGACTGCTGCTACTTCACTGCCCCACACGACAGCTGTTGGGCGGGGAGGCTGAGCAGCCTAGACAAAGTCCCACTGCACCTCAGATCTCTTGGGAGCTTCCTCCACCCTCACTCACATCCTCTTCGGGCTCCAGGGAGAGTCTCCTCATGAGACACGAGGACTCTGCAGCTCTTTCCCACCATTTCCTGGTATGATTCTATTGCTTGATTGATTTCCTGGTGTCGCGCATATGCGTTATCGTGCGCGAGTAGAACATGTGCAAGTCGGGAGAGGCCTGTACACAATAGATGACCTTTGCAAATCAACAAGTGTATATCCTTTCACACTTGTACACTTGTGTAAAGGCAGCTTGCACCTGTGTTCAGTGTAACATGTAAACACCCAAGACAATACCCAACATTCCCCTGTAGCTGTACATTTTGAAAGAAAGTTGCTTTTCGGAGAAAGAACATAAGGGCATGTGATGAGCCATGTGGATCTGACCACAGGCCCATCTAGTCAAGCATCCTGTTCTCACATTAGGAAGTACACAATCATCAGCAGACCTCTTCCAGCCCATGATTCCCATCAACCAGCATTCAGAAACATATTGCCACCAAAAGTGAAGGTAGACATTATGGCAAGTTATCACTGATGACCGTAACATTCAGGAATTTCTCTATTCCTCTTTTCAAGCTATCAAGCAACAATCTGGGTGCAGCCAGAGAAACACATATGCATTACATAAAAAATCCATCATATTTTTGAAACTGCAAAGGAAAGTACAAAAGCTATGGAATAAAGTTTAGAGGGAAAAAATGAGAAACAAAGCATTTCATTCTCTAGATCCAAGAATATTATGGCTGTGGAATAACTACCCATTAAACTAGAAAGTTGCTCACTCGCATCTGCATGCGAGTATGTAGCCAGAGAGATGGTACTTCTCATGTGGGTGTGCAATGTGTGAAGCAGCCCATAATAATAGCAAAAAAGACACACATGTGCACACCCCGTCACTGTGAGGTAAGCTGTTGCAGGTCACACGCAGAGACAGCTCTGTGGCATAAATCCTTTCTTTTTAAAAAAATTAAATTGTCAGAAGAGTTGTGCAAAGGCAGATTCATCACTGGCTCAATTCCATTATTTCAGCAGAGATGCACCCCTTTATGACAGCAGTAATTTCATCGTGCTTAGACTACTTGACCTTCCTCTTTTGAGGTAATTGGCATGCCAGCTTGTATGAGCCACAGCCCTCGCTTCATGTGACTGGTTATAATTCCACTGACAATCCCAGCCCTCTTGAACTTTCACTTTAAGATGCAATCTTTGTGTCAGAGACACTTCATCTTGAATTTACGGTCCAACTGAAGGACATTGCACATGCATGAACACACACACACACACATTTTTTCAGCTGGCACAAGGGGGGGGGGAAATATCCTAAAAAGAACACATTGTGATTTGCTCTAGATGCGGGATTAATCTACTGGGAGCAGTCAAATACAACATTCCTTGTTTTCCTAGAGTGGACAGGCAAAGGGATGTTGGTCCAGCCAGTCAAAACTTCCTGTTCCTCCTGGCCTGGAAAGAAGATGGTGGACTCTCTTTCCTTGGAGGTTTTTAAGCAGAGGTTGGATGGCCATCTGTCATGGATGCTTTAGTTGAGATTCCTGCATTGCAGAGTTGGATTAGATGAGCCTCAGGGTCCTGTACAATTCTACAGTTCTATGATTCTATGGTTCATTTACTCTTAGCAAACTCATTTTAGTTAAACTTTTAAAAACAGCTTTCTTGACACCACAGCACTGCTTGGAATCTATGGTTGCAGTTTTGTCTCTATTACCGGTGAGTAAAGTCCCATCTCATTGAATCATGGGCCCTGATTTTCCAACTTCATGCTTTCTTGGAGATCATTCAGAGAAGATTTGGGTTCCACCTGAGGTTTCTCCATGGGATAGAAGTAAAATTGGAAGGGAAAGGGAGAGAAGGGAAGCCTATGGCCCTCCAAATGTTGTTGGGCTCTAACTCCCATCAGCCCCAGCCAGCATCATCAATGGACAGAAGTGATGGGAGTTGTAGTCCAACAACAACTGGAGAGCTATGGGTCCCCTCCTCTGGTTTGAAGCCCAGTGCTTGAGACTGAGTGGACAGGTGCTGGATCCAGACAAGGTGGTGGTGATACTGGGTGCTTCTGAATCTGTTTTGATCTGGGTAAGCAGATAGCAATGATGGCTGACATGGGGAGTGTTTTGGTGACAGCAATGGAAAGAGAAGATATGGCCGCACTTAGGGAAAAACTTGGGGGAAGCTGTTTGGAAAGCACTGTTCTTCCTTTTAAGTGGGATTAGCTTGAAGGGTCAGGCCTGAGAGGCAGTAGCTCTGAAAAATAACAACAGAGCACTAAGTTTCATCTGTTTGGGAGAAGAAATCAATAGCTTTCTATTCTCCTCACTGTTTGCTATGTACACTAGGGTGACTTTGCTTTCAGTGCTTGAGTGCACTGGTAACTCCCATTGATTTTGTGGTTAGATCTCAAGCAATACATACTTCTTTGTAGAGATTTTGGCACTTTGGGGGAAACAGGGGTGAATGTTCTTAGTGAGATATGCATAGGGAATTGCTACATGTTGTAATGTCATGCCTAGACCGCTGCAAATCCTATTTAGCTTCCTTCCTTCCACCACCCACGCACATCCCCGCAAAGAGCACGTTTCTGAAAATCCACTAGGAATTGCCTCCATACCTTTAAGGCTATCTTGTAGCCTTATGGTCTAGAAACTTGGTATGTGTTTTTATTTTTTAAGGACAAAAACGGAATTCCTTGGGATACTGTATTCTATACTGGATGCCAGTAACACACAGTGCAATTGCAGAGGGAATATGCAGTTCCATATTTTATTTGGCAAATGTACTCCCCCCCCCCCTTTTCCTGCAGCGAACCAATGTAGTGCAAGCAACATACACACATCTAGGAATCCTAATTGGGTCAGGGTCCCCATTGGATTCCAACTCCCATCAGTTCTAGTCATTGTGGGATGATGGAAGTTTTAGTTCAACAACATTTGGAGGGCCACCGGTTCCTAACCCCTCCCTCTGTTTGCTAGTTCTCTCCCTATCCCACCCTTTGTAAGCAAACTCTCCTCCAACCTTACTTTTCAGTGAATGGAGGAAGGCCTTGGTTCCCCAACCAACAAATGCAGGCTCAGGACCATCATTGCCTGCTAGGAAAATCACAGATGTCATGATTCCTTCAGGAAATGGTGGTTTTGAGGGATCCCAGAGCCACCATTTCCTACTGGGAGTTGGCCTGCTACCATCCAGTGCAGTCACCTTCGGCACATATGAATGGGAAGGATGCTATCTTGTCCTTCACCTCAGCAAAATGTCTTCAGCCAGCCCCCTTTGATGGAGGGAGGAATTTGATCCTTGCATAATTCCAGTATGAAAGGACATGATCCACACCTCATGGACAATGCACAAAGCAGAATTTATATACAGTTGATTTTGCACTTTTCCGAATGTTCTTAGCAGCCGTTTTAAAATATGTATCTTGAATGAATGCATTTAAATATGTATTTAGAGATAAAACAGATATTAAATGCATATCCTGAGATAAAATGCACATGTAAATAAGTACTTTGAGAGACATCGCCTATTTGAATATATATTTGCCTTAAAATATGTTCATTAAGAGAAATCACACCTTTACATAATTATTTTGAGAAAAATGTACCTTGAGAAACATTCTTTGAGGTAAATCACACCTTTTGATACATATTTTGAGAAAAACACACATTTAAACAGTATTAAAATATACATTAAAATATGTATTTAAATACTACTTGAGAAGATTTATAAAAAGGGGTTGCTTAAAGCAGAAATGGATATTATGGGTAAAAGCATGCAAAAGTGACACAAACCACAAATTCATCCATGCATACCGATAATGGGGATGGGTGGAATGCACTTTGCATGGCCTTTGTGTTATGGGCAGCAGGTAAAAACTCATTTGAGCATTTGGAAGAAGAAGAAGAAGAAGAAGAAGAAGAAGAAGAAGAAGAAGAAGAGAGGAGGAGGAGGAGGAGGAGGAGGAGGAGGAGGAGGAGGGGAGGAGGAGGAGGAGTAATAATTTATTCCCCGCCCATCTGGCTGGGTTTCCCCAGCCACTCTGGGTGGCTCCCAACATCATCATCATCATCATCATCATCAAGTGATAAAACATCAAACATTTAAAACTTCCCTAAACAGGACTACCTTCAGGTGTCTTCTAAAAGTCAGATAGTTGTTTATTTTCTTGACATCTGATGGGAGGGCATTCCACAGGGTTGGTGCCACTACCATGAAGGCTCTCTGCCTGGTTCCCTGTAACCTCACTTCTCGCAGTGAGGGAACCACCAGAAGGCCCTCAGAACTGGACATCAGTGTCCGGGCTGAACAGGCTAGTATTGTTTGATATAAGAAGCAAGCAAAACCTGGGTGCAATGGTGAATTATACATGTGGAAGCATGCTGCCAGTTCTAAGATTTTATTAGCTTTATGGGTGTTGTGATTTTAAGGTTTGTACCACCTGTTCCTTTTGGTTTTAGAGCTATATATATATTAGGAATTGCAATTTGTATTGTGTCCCCCCTTCCCCGCCTGCCCCGAGACCTTATGAGGAAGGACAGGTTAGAAATGTATTAAACAAATATGTTTTCTTTACAAATGCCATCTCTCTCTCCTTTTCCATTTCAGTTGACTTGGATAGGTTGAATGACGATGTGAAGCGATACAGCTGCACTCCAAGGAATTATTCTGTCAACATAAGGGAAGAACTGAAGCAAACCAACGTTGTTTTCTTTCCACGCTGCCTTCTGGTCCAGCGCTGTGGGGGGAATTGTGGCTGTGGGTTCAACAACTGGAAATCTTGCACGTGCACAGCAGGAAAATTGGTGAAAAAATATCATGAGGTACATCGGTCTTTACTTACATCTATAGTCTTCTAGGCTCAAGATAATCTGTGTTTTAAAAGCAAGATGTTTACTTTCTCCTTAGTAACACGATTTAGTTATTAATTTATTATTTTTAGTTTTCATTATTATTCTTTACAAGAATATATGAAGGTATTTAATGCAATCTGCTACAACGGTGCTGCAGCAATTATCATTATTGCTTTACAATTTCTAAAATAAACATGCAGTGCATAGCTGTCAACTTTTCCCCTTTCTTGTGAGGAATCCTAATCGGAATAAGGGAATTTCCCTTCAAAAAAGGGAAATGTTGACAGCTATGATACAGTGGTACCTTGGAAGTCAAACGGAATCCATTCTGGAAGTCCATTTGACTTCAAAAATGTTCGGAAACCAAGGCGCGGCTTCTGATTGGCTGCAGGAAGCTCCTGTAGCCAATCAGAAGTTGCGGAAGTCGCATTGGACGTTCGGGTTCCAAAAAACATTGGCAAACCAGAACACTCACTTCTGGGTTTGCGGCGTTCGGGAGCCAAAACGTTCAACTCGCAAGGCATTCAGGATCCAAGGTACGGCTGTAATTTTAATATTTCTAATAAATGATTACACAATCAATCATTTAAATAAAGTTAAATATCCCTACAAACCCTAACAAAATGGGGGGGGGAGCATGGCAACGAACATTTTCCAGCTCAGTTATTTCCTCTCCCTACTCTTCAGCTTCTCCCAATAGAGGATATCGATTGTTCAAAGTGCAAGACCCAGGAAGGTGATTTTTTGAGCATCTACAGGAGAGACGTGGTCTCAGTGTTTAAACTACTCCAATGACAAAAACACACCCTATATTCTTCTCCCCCCTTTTCTTTTACAAAAAAAAACCTTTATTTCATGCAAAACAGTGAACATTAAGGAACAAACCAAAGCAGAACAAACCCAACCTATGATTAATCATTACACGTCAACTGGGCGGTGGTGAAGGAGGGATGGAGGGCAGAAAGAGAGAGAGGAGGGGGTGGTAGAGAGAGAGGCAATGGGGTGGCCCCACATACTTCTGCCGCTATTCCAACCCACTGCTGTTTTGTGGCTCCCAACAGATTATCCCCAAGGGAATGCAGCCTTCAGTGGAAATAAGTTGCCCGCCTCTGCACTAATGGATATTGCAGGCCTTATTCCCCGGGTTGATTCAGCAGCCAGGTTGCACTCATATGGCCCTAGGTTTCAGGAATTTTTTCTTTTTGAAATAAAGGTAAAGGGACCCCTGACCATTAAGTCCAGTCGTGGCCGACTCTGGGGTTGCGGCGCTCATCTTGCTTTATTGGCTGAGGGAGCCGGCGTACAGCTTCTGGGTCATGTGGCCAGCCAGAGCAGCACACAGAAACACCGTTTACCTTCCCGCCGGAGCGGTACCTATTTATCTACTTGCAGTTTGATGTGCTTTCAAACTGCTAGGTTGGCAGGAGCAGGGACCGAGCAACGGGAGCTCACCCGTTGCGGGGATTCGAACTGCCGACCTTCTGATCGGCAAGCCCTAGGCTCTGGTTTAACTCACAGCACCACCCTTTTTGAAATATGGCAACCCTAAAAATACCAATCTCACCAAGCAGCTGCTGGAAGGGATTCAGGGGCCTGAATTCAACTGCTCCCTGCTTCTTCTCCTTCCTTACTAAACATCTTATTGGTGGGATTTCAAAATTTATAACACATGCTCTTAATTAAGAAAGTTAAACACCTGAGATCTCATCTCTATATGGGTTGACTGAACTGGGATGTGGAGGGGAAGCTTTTTTTAGAAGCATTGTAAACTAGCTGCATCCTGAGTGTGATCAAATGAAAACAGGGCAGATCTACTTTTTGGGGGATGCTTATGCAGCACCCAGATATTAATCTAATGGTGGTGATTTATGGGGAATATTAAAGGTCCAGGATAACAGATTATTTGGCCACTGGGTAGGCATGATGGGGAGATACCTGAGTTCCACTGAGTGAGAAAACCTCTGTGTGTGTGTGTGTGTGTGTGTGTGTGTGGTGCAGGAGAGGAAATTTGCTCACTGAGTCCACCACAGGAATTGCTATTAATTCCTTCCATTCTTTTTATCTCGCAGACTGGAATTAATTAAGGACAATGTTCTAGCTTGAGCTTCGAATGACCTGGCTTTTGTTAATGTAAATGTAAATGTATCCTTTAGGGATGAATTAACCGTACAATGAACATAGATTTGGATATTAGAATTAATAGGCACTGTGAAGTTTAATCTATATTGGGTACATGAAAGACCAGAGTGATGTTAGTCCAGCACATTCTTCCCAGGCAAAATTCTTGAATTTTTCTGAATCCTAGGGCTAAGCATTCATCCCTAGCTTTGTTCCACATTTATCTAGCCATTTCCTCTGATTTAAAAAAAGGTACCAGCAAGGGCAAGAGAGGAACTCCTGCCTTTCCTTTCTTGGGATCAATTCCAACACTGAGCAAGAGGCACAATAGGACAATTCTCAAGGGACATGTGCCACCTCTGAATGCATAGTGTGGCCATACACTCTATCATAGAAAAAAATTACCTATGCAAAGCTAACTTATTAAGAGGCCTTCATACAGATGGGGAAATGTATTGCGTGTACAAAACGTTCAATGTTATACAGCAGAATATTTTATATAAGACATTTGTGTACTGCCCTTCAAAAATATTTCTCCTAGGGCAGTTCACAATCCAAAACTGTAAAAATATGCAGTGGAACGTGGATATAATTTGGAATAGAAGCCTAATCTGAAAACTTTCTTTTGTCACTTTTTTATTTTCCAACCAATATTATCGGTTGTAACTTTGTATAGAGGTTTTCAAGTGTGCCCCACCATCAAGACCTCCATTACAGGGATGGGAATGTTTTGTCTGTCCAGATGTCATAGACTCTAATTCCCACCAGCCCCAGATAGCTTCTGAGTGCCAGTGGCTGGAAACCACAAGAGGGGAGATTTCTGTGGCACTCAGGTCCTGTTTGCATAGACATCTGGGTTGGTTATTGTGAGAACAGGATGCCGGACTGGATAGGCTATTGGTCTGATCCAGCACCACCTTCTTAGAAGAGAAAATGGCTCCTTTTTTTCTCCTTTTTTATAGATGCATAGGTTAAAAAATATTGATTGGTTAAAAGCCGAGAAATTAATCATCAACTTAAAAAGAGAGAGGATTTTACTCAGCCTTTTCATTCTCAAGCATGTTTAGTGACCCCAGATTACTCCATAGTCACCTGAATTCCAAACAAGGTCAGGAAGTGAGATGCAGGTTGCATTAAAAGCCCAGAGCATTTATCACCTGAGGAAATGTGTCACAAACACAACCCCTTGATATCCTTCAATAAAGTTACAAGGCAGGAAGCTCAGACCTGCCTTTCCCATATAGCCAATTCTATGAGAACTTTTATAAGGCCATCATAATCTTTTACATTCTTATAAACACTGTATCTGGCTCAACAGTTGCATTTTCCATCTAGTTTTTTTATTAACAGGGCTCCGTATACGGGATTGATTCAATCTCTGATATATGAAGGGATGAGGGGAGGAATATTTTCTGTGGCACAGTTTTATTTTCCTTCCCATTCCTCTGCCAAGCCCTATCCCTACTTCGTACTTAACGTCCTACGGATGGTAAAGCCAATGTAAATGTTCAAAGCAATTGCGTAGCAGAGTCCCTGAACTACCCTTTCCTCATATGAGGTCAGGAAAGAATTTTCTCTCTATTTCCCCAAATTTCCCCAAGTTTTCTTGAGAGCTCAGGAGGGAGGAAGAGAAAGGATGCAATGAAGCACTGTGTGAGCCACACTCTGTCTGCACAGAGGTCAAACAAGGGTAAATTGGCTCTGAGTCTGCATAATGGAGGGCACAGATCTGGGGTGCACTCAGATATCATATTAAACAACCTTAGCCTCCCCCCAAGCTTGTGCATCCCATTCTCCCATGTTCTCCTCTAGCACATACTCAAGAAAGAGACCAGAAACCACACTCAAGGTGAGCAGTGGAGAGGGAAGAGTGGGCAAGCCCAGGGTTCACTGTAACTTGCACTTGTAAAGCTATTATGTGGTTCAAAGTTACATCTGTACTTATCTAGGGTGTTCAAAGAACATGTGTGTTGGGGATGACGTTGTTAGGATGCTCACAGCAAACAGGATTCATGAACAAACACATCAACGCTCCATGCTATGAGCAACTGCCCAAGCTTCACTAATCCCTCTAATAGCAAACTCAGGTTGTGATTGCCACCAGAAGCGGGTCTCAAATAGGACCATTGAAAAACAACAGGCGATCCTAAACAGAGCCTGCTGTATCAGGCCAAAGGCCAGCCTAGTCCAGCATTCCTGTTCTCTGGGCAGCCAGATGCCTGTGGGAAACGGGAGGAAACAAGAGGAAAGTATCAGTCTGCTCAGTGGACCTCTGAGGTTTACAGAAGTAAACAAAAACATTTGAAAGCCTAAGGGGGCAAATGAGGACTGAGCATCTTCAGTAGCCTCGAAATGTTGATACTTCATAGAAAAGGAAACTGGAAAACTGGGAAGGTAGGGTAGGCAATATTCTGCATCAGCCTCTAGCAATTTATAGTATCCTGAAAGAGGATACTTGACTGGCTGGCTGGAACCCTGAACAGGAATACTCATGTTAGGAAGTGAGAAGGATACCTTTTTGATTCAGGTCCCAGTTGTGTTCCCTTTTGAAGAAGAGGCTCCATATTAGATAGCTTCCTTTCAGTAGGCTTGCATATTTGAGCAAGCCTCGTGCCTGCAACATGCAAATGTGAGCTTTTATTTTAAATACACAGAGTTCCCTTTAATATACCGTGACTGTGGCAGGCGACCTTGCCTTTTTCATCCTTTCAGGTCTGCTGAATAAACCTGAGCCTAAGACTATTAGATGGAAGCTTGGATTGAAATGTTAAGCATCAGTCCCTTGATCACTTAGTAAAGCTGCCCAATTTCTGTGTTGTTCAAACACTGCTTTCCGGCCTTGGATGGGAAAG